AAAAAAAAAAAACAACAAAACAGTTCAAATGGTGATTTAATTCTCACATATCATACAGTCCATCTGTTTAAAGTGTACAGTTCAGTAATCTTTAGGACATTCAGAGAACTTGCACATGAGTTTTGAAAGAGTAATTCTTGGTTTGAGCTCAGTGTCACAGATTAATGTGTATACAGGGAAAGGAAAAGATGTTGGAACTAAAACTCTATTTTTTCTTTTATAGGCTACCGTCCAAGTCCTCGGGACCGTGCTTCTAGAGGTCGTGGCGGACTCGGACCTTCCTGGGCTAGTGCAAATAGTGGCAGTGGAGGCTCAAGAGGAAAGTTTGTTAGTGGAGGCAGTGGGAGAGGTCGTCACGTACGCTCCTTTACACGATAAAAATGCTTTGGGGAACATCCTAAGTGTATACAAACATTTCCTGAGGACAATAAAAATAAAATAAGACGTTGAAGGACCAATTTAGACTTAGCTATCTGGAGACATCTGAGAGAATATTTTTATCTGAAGAAAGCAGATTTTGTTTGATACTTAACGAGATTTCAATAAAAATCCAAACTTTTTATGATGTTTGTATATATTTTTCCCCTTTTGTATGACTGTTTATTTAGAACATTTCTAGGTAGAAAGAGAAAAACTAAATGACTTGTATATTTTCTTGCCTAATACACAGATGTTCCCAGACTTTCTCAGCTCATGGCATTCTCTAGTATTTCAGTATTTTTTCATACCGTACGTAGGCCTAAAGAAATATCTAATACTTTTCATTAAGCAGTTAGGCCCAACAATTTAATGAGAATATTATGTCATTACCACTAGTAACTGCAGACACTGCAGAACATCTTAAACCTTGGAATCAGTACCATTTTCTGTTCCACTCTGCTCCTTGCCCAGTATATTTTAATCAGACTACTGAAACCCCAGTTTTACAAAGATCCATTGTTATGAAAAAGAATATAATATAATGTTGACAATGTAAACTACCTCGAACTAGTAGTATATATGATGTCCAATAGATGTTGCTATGTTTTCTTCAAAAATTTAAAATATCTTGTGACATAAATGCATGTTGATTTACTAAGGTTCCCTGGCACATAGTTCAGGAGCTGTGGCTGTACCAAAAGAAACAAAACACTCCTCTTTTTTATGTTAGAAATACGAACTTTGTTTTAGCTTTGGACTCAGTGACACTATTTATTATGCAATTATTTAAAGCCTACAATGAGTCATACACTGATACTGTTATTTTGGGAATCAAAAATATCTTTAAAAAAAAGCTGGACTTTATATATAGAAATAAAGCTTATAACTTTGAGAAAGTAGCCATATTCTCCCCCAAGATATGTCTTAACACACTGAACCTATATAACTGACATAAAATACAGAGCTCTCTTAACAAAAAAAGGAGTGTATGAGTCTCATTCCATACTTTTATCACCCTTTGTTTTGATGAAAGTTTGTTAGAGGTAGTGGTAGAGATCTGCCTATTTGTAAGTGAATAGAAGGTTCATTACTGTTTTCCCTAAGAAAAGCTCAGCTCTGAAGATTCTGATGATTAAGTGGAAGGTAATGGAAAATTTATCATACCTAGTGGCCTCAAAAAACCCAAGTACCTTAGTCTGCTCAAGCTGATACAACAAAATACCATGGAATGGAACTGTTTAAACAGCAGAAATTTATTTCTTACAGTTCTAGAGACTTGGACGTTTGAGATCAGGGTGCCAGCATGGTTGGGTTCTGGGGAGGGCCCTGTTCCTGGCGGGAGACAACTGCTTTTTTGCCTTGTGCTTACCTGGTCTTTCCTTGGTGTTTAAAGAGAGTGAGTGGGTGGGGCCTATAGCTCAGTGGGTAGGGCGCCAGCTACATACACCCAGGCTGATGGGTTTGAACCTGCCCCTGGCCTGCTAAACAATAATGACAACTGCCAACAAAAAATAGCTGGGCGTTGGGTGGTACCTGTGGCTCAAAGGAGTAGGGTGCTGGCCGCATATGCCCAAGGTGGCAGGTTCAAACCCAGCCTCAAGCAAAAACTGCAAAATAAATAAATAAATAAAATAAAATAACATTACTCCATTCTCAAAGGTTAAATTTCTAAAAAAAAAAAAAAATAGCCAGGCGTTGTGGCAGGTGCCAGTAGTCCCAGCTACTTGGGAGACTAAGGCAAGAGAATCCCTTAAGCCCAAAACTTTGAGGTTGCTGTGAGCTGTGACACCACAGCACCCTACTGAGGGCAACATAGTGAGACTCTGTCTCAAAAAGTAATAATAATAAGAGTGATTTTGTGTGTCTTCCTCTTAAAAAGGCACTAATCCCACCATGAGATTTCCACCCCCTCGTGACCTAATGTAAACCAAATTACCTCCCAAACATGCCACCTCCTAATACCGTTACATTGAGGGTTAGGGCTTCAACATATAATTTTTTTTTTTCTGACATATGAATTTTAGGAAACACATACTCAGCATAACACCAAGATAACCTAAACTTCCTTTAATCCTGAAATCTAAGAGGCTTATCTTCCCTAATGATACATTAAGTAGATTTCAAAATTTACCCCTAATGTCTGATAGAAATTTGTGTAAAAATAGTTAATGTTTCTTAAGTAACTATGTTTCCTTAAATAAGAACATGGCTATATATCAATACATATTTTATTGGTTTATTTTTTAGCATCAAATTTAATATAATCTTGAGAAATATCAGCTGTTTTCTGCTTTTTAAGTATCTTAGGTTAATACCCAGTTATTTGGGCAAGTGAAGCTAATAAATTATTACAGAGAAAGCAAATTAAGATCAAGCAGATTTGGGCGGCACCTGTGGCTCAGTGGGTAGGACGCCAACCCCATATATGGAGGGTGGCAGGTTCGAACCCAGCCCTGGCCAAACTGCAACAAAAAAATAGCCAGGTGTTGTGGCGGGCCTTGAGGAACTGAAAGTCTTAGAAAAAAATGAGGAAGAGGCTGGGTGCGATGGCTCACATCTGTAATCCTAGCACCCAGGGAGGCCAAGGCGGGTGGATTGTCCTGAGTTCACAGGTTCGAGACCAGCCTGAGCAAGAGTGAGACCTTGTCTCTAAAAACAGCCAGGCATTGTGGCAGGCACCTGTATTCCCCAGGTACTCAGGAGGCTGAGATAAGAGAATCACTTGATTCCAAGAGTTTGAGGTGGCTGTGAGCTATGATGCCATGGCACACTACTGAGGGTGACAAAGTAAGACTCTGTTTTAAAAAAAAAAAAAAAATGAGAAGAGAAAGGATCAGTGGTGCCTGTGGCTCAAAGGAGTAGGGCGCTGGCCCCATATGCCAGACATGGTTGGTTCAAACCCAGCCCTGGCCAATAACTGCAAAAAAAGAAGAGAAGGGATCTTAACGTATTAACCAATCCTGAACTCACATACCACTTAGTCTTTATAACAATTCATTAAAGAGGTATCGTCCTAATTTTACAAATGGAAAAAGCTGAGGAGCTTGACTCACGCATAGTGGAAACTATTTAAAATCAAGTGGGAGCCTATCACAGTGGCACACACCTCTAGTCCCAGCTACTCAGGAGGCCAAGGTGGGAGGGAGCCCAGGAATTTTGAGTGCAGCCTGGGCACCATAGCAAGACTTCTGTCATTAAAAACTAATACAAAAGTAAATAATAAGTTGGTTCTTACTTCTTTCCTTTCCATGTTGGAGAGGTAAAAAACTCCTTTTTAGGTTAAATGTTTTAGTTATTTCAGAAGTGAACCTTGGCTGGGTGTGGTGGCTCATACCTGTAATCCTAGCACTTTGAAAGGCTGAGGTGAGTGGATTTTTTTTTGAGACAGAGCCTCAAGCTGTCCCCCTGGGTAGAGTGCCGTAGCATCACAGCTCACAGCAACCTCCAACCCCCGGGCTCAAGCAAGTCTCCTGCCTCAGCCTCCCAAGTAGCTGGGACCACAGGCGCCCGCCACAAGGCCCGGCTATTTTTTTGGTTGCAGCCGTCGTTGTTTTGGCAGGCTGGGCTGGATTCAAACCCGCCACCTTTGGTGTATGTGACTGGCACCTCATCCACTTGAGCCACAGGCACCGAGCCGTGAGTGGATTTCTTGAGCTCAGGAGTTCAAGATGAGCCTGAGCAAGAGTGAGACCCCTGTCTCTATTAAAAAAGTAGAAAAGCTAGCCAGTCTTTGTGGTGGGCACCTGTAGTCCCAGCTACTTGGGAGGCCGAGGTAAGAGGATCACTTTTGAGTTTGAGATTGCTATGAGCTATGATGCCACAGTACTCTACCCAGCGTGACAGAGTGAGGCTCTGTCTCTAAATAAATAAATAAGTGACCCTTATATAAGACATTTCAGGGAATGTTTTGAGTGATAACTGGAAATTAATGAAAAATGCAACATACCTTTGAAAACAAAGTTAAACTATAGCACAAGGAGATAGAATGATTTATTTCCTAAGGAGCAGAAAATACTCTGAAATATTGCTATGCTTTATTTACAAACAATGTTGCTGATAGTAGGCCAAGTGTGATGGCTCATGCTGGGCCTGTAATCCCAGTGCTTTGGGAGGCCAAAGTAGGTGGGTTGCTTGAGGCCAGAAGTTCAAGGTTATAATGAACATCACTGCACTCCAGTCTCCGTGACAAAGCCAGAGTTCTTTCTTTTTACTTTTTTTTTTTAAATAAAAAAGGACTAGTTAAGATGAAACAAATGTGTGTGTGATTTTTATTTTCAAATTCAACTACACAAAAAAATGGCCGGGTGTTCTGGTAGTCCCAGCTACTTGGGAGGCTGAAGCAAGAGAATTGCTTAAGCCCAAGAGTTTGAGGTCGCTGTGGGCCATAACATCACGGCATTCTATCCAGGGTGATAAAGTGAGATTCTGTCTCAAAACAACAACAAGAACAAAAAACAGGCTCGGTGCCCATAGCACAGTGGTTATAGTGCCAGCCACATACACCAAGGTTGGTGGGTTTGAACCCGGCCCTGGCTTGCTAAACAACAATGACAACTGCAACAAAAAAGGGCTGGGCATTGTGGCGGGTGCCTGTAGTCCAAGCAGGGAGGACTCAGGCAAAAGAATTGATTAAGCCCAAGAGTTTGAGGTTGTTGTGAACTGTGACGCCACAGCATCCTACCAAGGGTGACATAGTGAGACTCTGTCTCAACAACAAAAAAAGAACAAAACCTAAATTTTACATCTTCTCACTCCTATGTGGGAGCCAAATATTAAAAACAATTGATCTCATGGAGACAGTAGAATGATGGTTACTAGAGGCTGGGAAGGGTAATGGGGAGCAGGAGATAGAATGTGGACGGTTAATGGGTGCAAAAATAGAATGAACAATATTTGATAGTACAATAAAGTGACCATAATCAACAACAAGTTAGGGAACTCTTTAACTGAAAGGGTGGAATTGGAATGTTCCTAATACAAACAAATGTTAAATGCTAGAGGTGATGAATACCCTAGTTGCCCTGATTGGGCTAATTTACATTGTGAGCATGTATCAGAACATCATATGTACTCCATAAAGATATACAACTATTATGTACCCATAATAATAATAATGAACCAAATAATGGGGGATATTCATCTAA